CCTAGTATAAGTTTACTTTTTTTATTTTGTTACTCTTCATAAAATGTGTTCTTCTCAAAACTCTAAATCATTTATCTGAATTAGAATAAGTTATGGGAAACGCTATCATGGTTGTGTCCTTCATAAAAGTATTTTTTCTCTAATATTTGCTATTTATATTGAGCTACATGGTCTGCGTGAACTGATAGTATTCAGATATCTAAATATACAAAAGTAACAGAGCCTAGACGAAACGAGAATTCATGAAGTTATTTATACAGAATGATAAAATGAAGATAACAAATCAATTAACGGAAGCACTCAATATAAATATACTTACATATGATACAAGTTTAATTCTAAAAATAAGAAATATTTCTCAAAATATTGTACTATATTATCTTGTAAATAACAGAAATTATTCATAACAATACTGGTTTACTTTTTTCTGCACAATGTTTTGAAAAATATCTGTATTTAGCTACTGATAATTATATCAATTTTTTTATAACATTTTTTACATGTATATGTATGCATGTACTAAGTATAAAATTGTGAATAACTCATTTCTCCTTGATTAAATAATAAAGTCTTTTTAATATAAAATATCCATTTTTATGGCTGCATGCATTGTTTTTAAATACAGTTTTAATCTTTCAATGAAAAGCAAGTTATTGCAAAAATTGGGTATATGTATATGCAAACATAATGCATAATACCATATTCAGATATCAGAATTGGAAATATTTTAAGCGGACCATGATATATACATTCATTTCTCATATAGTATGTTTGATATACACTGTAGTATATCTTGCATACTAAATCCATTTCACAATGTTGAAATTCCCTGCAAGTTGTAATCTTTACTCTTTGCAGCAGATATATGATAATTTAAATGTAAAATATACGTGAAGATTTTATTATTGAAGTGTTCTCATTTTTCTCGAATTAATTAACAGTATAACTTTGCAAGGAATTAATGTATTGTGTGATATAGATTTGAAATATTGGATACTCCATTTCTAGTTTGTATGCACATTCTCTAAAGACTAAATACACATTAATTGTTAACTCTCGAATAGCTCTTATAGTACTTTTTATTCTTTTCATTTAATCACTGCATCTTGCAATTTACTTTCAGTCCTTATAGTGGTGCTTAAATGTACCCTTCTTACTCGATATTCATGTACTATAATCTATATAGTAATAGTTGAATTAAAAACTATGTTTGATTTATTCCTCTGAATTGTAATTCGTGCATCTAATATTAAATTTCCGTTTAAAATATTCAATAATAATCAATCTCTCAAGTATGAATAGCCTAATTGCAAATAACCTAATAGGCAAATATTTTTTCATTCAAATAATACATATTGATTGTTCATATAACAGCAATTACATTTTAATAACAACATTTTTAACATTATTGAGTGCTTTATAATTATAAATTATATCAGTATCTCCCAATGCTTCATGTCACAGCTATCTTAACTTTATTTTGTAAGTGCAACTATAAACTATAGTACTAAATATTGTATAACAGCGATTTTATGAATAATTTTTTTGTTTTAGAATATTTGCATAAATATTCTCTAATCCTTTCTAATTCTATACTTTACTTAGTTTAATAGCTTTTTCGACGATATTCGGTTAATAAGAATATAGTTCACTAGTTTGTATCTATTGTTGTAAATTAATTAATTCATAAGTGAATGTAAATTAAAATATCAATACATAATGAGAAACAAGAATAGGAAGTA